TGGGGTTTAAAATCTGAGTTCCATGTGGAAAGGGTGAGAAAATGGAGGAATTTGGGGTTTAAAATCTGAGTTCCATGTGGAAAGGGTGAGAAAATTGAGGAATTTGGGGTTTAAAATCAGAGTTCCACGTGGAAAGGGTGAGAAAATTGAAGATTTTGGGGTTTAAAATCTGAATTTCCTCTGTTGCTTTCAGGGAATGATGGGACCTCCAGGAGCACCAGGACCAAAGGTGGGTGCTGAAATCCTGAACCTGGAATTCAGGTTCCAAGGGAATTTTCTGCCCCCAACCAGCACCATAATTAATCATCATCATAATTCCTGTGGGAATCATTGGATCATGGAATGATTCAGGTTGGAGGTGACCTTCCAAAGCCTGGTCCAAACCCTCTGGACTGAGCAGGGACACCTTCAAACCAGCCTGACCTGGAGCCTTCCAGGCTCAAAAGCAAAAAAAAAAGAATAATTTTCCACTCCCTGCCCTCTGGAATTCCTTGCTGCCAAGGAGAGGCCTGGAATGGCAGCAGGGTGGGATATTTTCAATAATGAACGGCACTTTTGTGGCCAGGGAGACTCCAGAGTCCCAGGCTGGAAGAGCTGTCCTGTAATTAATGGAAAATTGAGTGGAAGAGCTCCATCCTTCCTTCCTTCCCTCTGGAAGGCAGCAGGAGCCAAAAATGCTGGATCTGTTTTCATTCTGATGGAAATTCCCTTCTGATTTCTTCCAGGGAATTCCAGGACCTCCAGGGCAGAAGGGAGACCAAGTGAGTGGAACAGTGAGAGAACATTTGACCAGCTCAGGTGCAATTATCCTGATTTTTCATCCTGTTTTGTTCCCTGTGGGATCCAGCAGGGATCTCCTCGAGCTCAGTTCTCCCCTCTCCTTGGCCCTTGTGCTTCTGGGATGACTTTTGGGCACTTTCCAGGAATAAATGGTGGGAAAGGGATGAGCAAAAATTTTTCCCTGCCTCCCATTTTTCGTTCCATTGGCCGCCATTCCTTCCTCTTGCCTTGCAGGGAAATCCAGGATTTCCAGGTGCTCCAGCCTTGGAGGTAACTTGGAGTGGTTGAGAGCCCTTCTTGTCCTTCAGCTGTGCAGCTTCAACCCCAAAATTCCAGCATTCCAAGAGCTGTGTCCCACAGAACCGTGGGAAGAACACCCAGACCTTTTCCCTGACCCTCCTGCCAAACTTGTCCTCTTCTCCCCTTTGCTCCACTTCCCATATTCCCAATATTCCCAATATTCCCAATATTCCCATTGTCCCCTCAATGGAGCTCCACAGCTCTCCAGGAAAGATGAGGATGAAAATTCCCAAATTCCAGCTTCAAGGAGAAGCCTCCATGGTGGCCACCTCTGTGTCCCACAAAATGTCTTATCCCATAATAATTCTTATCCCATAACAATTTTTATCCCGTAACATTCCTTGCGTGCTTTGGAAAAGGAGCCATGAAAAGGCAATTTT